CCTGCCATAACAATTCAAAACCATAAATTATAATAAAAAAATAAAATATCTCCACAACTTTCATCTTTCTCTCTCCACGTGATTTCTTCCAAACAAAAGTAATAAAAATAATATTTTAATGTTATATCTTCCGGCTTCGATAACTTGGGCTCGACTAACCAAAATTAATTTTTTCTCGAGTCTGAAATGCATCTTTAATTATTATCTATCCAACGAGCCCAATATCCGTATACTTATCATCGTCCCGTCAATATTTATATTTTAATCTAAATATTATTAAAGTTTACTTTATATACACTTTAGTCCCTAAACTTTCAAAACATTAAAAATATAGCATAAATAAAATTTAATTATATTCTATAAAATTTCAGGATATTATAATCTCCCCTCCTTAAATATTTTCGTCCTCGAAAATTTACCTTGGTTAATCGAAAAGTTATGGATACTTGGTTCTAAGCTCTTCTTCTTTCTCCCAAGTTGATTCCTCTCGTCCATGATTTCGCCATTGTACTTTAACCAGTGGAACTCCTCTCTTCCTGAGTTGATGTACCTTTCTTTCCAAAATTACCGTCGGAATTTCTTCATATGATAGATCTTTTTGTACATCCAATGTCTGATAACTTACCACATGATTGGGATCATGAACATATTTTCTGAGCATCGAAACATGGAACACATTATGCACTGCTGCTAGTTCAGGTGGCAAGGCAAGTCTGTAAGCCAAACTACCAATCCTTTCAAGAATTTCGAAAGGTCCGACGAACCATGGTCTCAACTTCCCTTTCTTTCCAAATCTCAATACACCCTTCATTGGTGCTACCTTTAGAAAGACTTTGTCACCTATTTGAAATTCTAAATCCTTTCTTCTACTGTCAACATAGCTTTTCTGTCGATCTTGCGCTGTCTTTATTCTTGCCCTAATATTCTCCACTGCCTCAACTGTTCGCTCAATGATTTCTGGACCCAAAATTCTGTTTTCCCCGACTTCATCCCAATGGATAGGGGATCT